GATGAGACTGATGATGATGAGAGTGATGATGATGAGACTGATGATGATGAGAGTGATGATGATGAGACTGATGATGATGAGAGTGATGATGATGAGACTGATGATGATGAGAGTGATGATGATGAGACTGATGATGATGAGAGTGATGATGATGAGACTGATGATGATGAGAGTGATGATGATGAGACTGATGATGATGAGAGTGATGATGATGAGACTGATGATGATGAGAGTGATGATGATGAGACTGATGATGATGAGAGTGATGATGATGAGACTGATGATGATGAGAGTGATGATGATGAGACTGATGATGATGAGAGTGATGATGATGAGACTGATGATGATGAGAGTGATGATGATGAGACTGATGATGATGAGAGTGATGATGATGAGACTGATGATGATGAGAGTGATGATGATGAGACTGATGATGATGAGAGTGATGATGATGAGACTGATGATGATGAGAGTGATGATGATGAGACTGATGATGATGAGAGTGATGATAGGAATTATGATAATGATGAACATTATTATGAAAATGATTATGATATCAATTGCAATCTTAATGGTTGATAATAATAATGATAATAGATAAGATGATGATAATACCAGTGATGAAAATAATTACGAAATAATAAATTTAATAATAACGTAATAATGATAAGAAAATAATGATAATAGTAATTATTGTTATTATTATTCTTTTACTATCATTTGTATTATCATAATTATTAATATTATTATTAACTGTAAAATATTAATGTTTTCCTTTATCATCCCAATGTCTTGAGTTGCTAGGTTTTAAGATCTTCCCTATCTATATAAATCTGTATGTAAAAATATCCTTAATGTTGTATATTCATAAAACATTCCTCCATTTTCCCTCCTAATTTCTACTTCTTGAGTTCTTTGTCCCATCAAAATCTTTGCGAGTTCGCGTTCTCTCTATCTATCCATATCTATCCATAAACACTCATCAATAAGAATATGTTAAACACTATATATTCACTAAGCTTCCCCCCATTTTAAATCGTGAGTTCTCACAGTAGAAAATCTATCCAAATTCTTAGTATAGGCTCCTTCTCTCTACCTATCCATATAGATATCAATATAAAAACTATTCTTAATTTATGTTTCGTCACAGGTTTTGAGTTCCTAGCTCCAGAAAAACGCACTACAGGTTCCCTCGTCACGTTTGTAGCCTGGACTTTCGGCACATGTCTGACATCACTTACGGGATGGCTGATTCCGAGGTTTCAGTATCTGGTGGTGATCTCGTGCATTCCAGCTGTTTGTGGGTTCCTTTACTGGAGGTGAGTTTTGAGTGCTATTTGGTTGTGTTTGGGGATGGGGTGGGAGTGGGGGATGAGGGTGTTTGTGTTTGTGCGTGTGTGGAATGGGCAGGTTAGAGGTTTGCGTTTGTTGCGTCGTTGTCTGTGGCGTGTGTAGGGTGGTGTGTGCAGGGTGATGTGTGTGTCTGTGTGTGTGTGTGAAAGTTAACTTCAACATCCTATGAATCATGGCCAGATATAGGTGTAAACACAAACTTGATTAAAAAATTATTATACATTTCATGTACTCCTCTTGATCCACCAAGGAAGATATCCTCCAAATGAACAGTCAGGTCAATACTTTAGTACGGTATGTTTCACACATTGCCCTAATTTTTGACACTATGCATCTGATTAGTGTTTACTCTTGGATTTCACTGATCAGTATCCTGTAGCCGATAAGACATACGAACAAGTAAAGCGTGACGTAGTTGTGATGTTACAAATGCACTACTTCTGGAGGTGTTAGGAGAAGTGGATTTGTAACGTCACAACTATGTCACACTTTACCAGATCGAAAGCCTTCTCAGCTGAAGGATATTATGCTATAAAAGTACAGGTAAATGCAGCAAATAAGTATATTTGATAATGCATTATAATGTCAAAAATTAGGGCAAATAATGAAACACACTGGGCTAAAAGATTACACTGATCCGATTGTCAGTTGGAAGTAATTTGCGAAAGACGATGGGTCGGTAAAATCTCCGTTACCGAGTATTTATATGCTTAAGTAGGACTGTTTTAGAAAATACCACTGTATTTCGTAAATCGTTTAGTCAAATTATTGATGAATGCTGAAGAGGGAGAGAGCATGCACGCACACACACACTCACACACACTCTCATTCTCTCTCTCTCTCTCACACACACACAGATTCAAACAGACAAATATATACAGTCTGAGAGAAAACAAAATCATAAATAAAAAATGTCAACACTTTCAACACTAGACAAAGGTAACCACAAGGTTTAATAAACAGCATATAACATATTAAATCGGTGAGTTAATCCTCAATTAGCAATATAATTTCACGGCAAAACTATCACACTAAATTGTAGCTTTGTTTCGAATTTTATGCTAATGGCCCTACGCATTTATGTAGCGGGAGATGGTACATGGTTAGTGTCAAGCGCGTCATTTCGACTTTTTCTTGCGGGAGGCAAGGATGGATAGGCGTTTATAAGCAAGCATGTGTCTGTTTATTAATTTCTCTCTCTGTTTATACACCAAATACAAGTTTCATGACTGCCACCAAACCCTCTTTCCTTCTGTTAACCCAATATCACAACTTTTCCAGGTACCTTCCAGAGTCCCCGCGCTGGCTTCTGTCTCAAGGGAAAATAAGTGAATGTGCCACGAATCTTTTACTGGTATGGCTCTCACTAAGGAAACTTTTATTTATCTATTTACTTATATACATATTTACATTTATATGTATGTTTTACTTATTATTATTATCTATTATTATTATTATTATTATTATTATTTTTTTTTTTTTTTGGGGGGGGGGGTGAAATAGAAATAAATAAAGAGAGAGAGAGCAAGAGAGAAAACAAATATGGATTAACAGACAGAGTGAGTGATAGGTGAATAGGTTAACACGTAGATAGGTAGATAGGTAGGTAGACAAACAGAAAGGTAGAAAGACAACCAGATAGGTATCTAGATACTAATAAAGATAGGTATCTAGATAGCTATATAGATAGGCGTAGATAGATAAAATAGATAGCTAGCTAAATAGAGAGAGAGAGGAGAGACAGGTAGGCAGAGGTGTAAAAGAAGTATAATGTGCGAGAACGAGTCGAAATAAGAATTATAGTGAAATTAAACTAGAAGAAAAAAACATCACAAAAATGAAAATTCCACAACGATCCTGTATTTCCTCATTTCCATCAACAACTCTCAGGTTTTTCATGTCACTGGGACATTGTGTTGATCCCTTAACATTATGAATAATTTAAATTTCTTTCACAACATAATTACATTATTAATTATTAACTTCAGGGTAATAAAGAAATACTCGGGATTTAATGACACTATAATGATCAGGTTTACATAACTTTTTCCCGTTAACTTTATATTATAATTTTAGAGTTTGTGTTATATGGTTCTGGTGGTTTTATTTTCAGTGGTTCTTAACCTTTTAACTACCAACCCCCCCCCCGCGGGCTTAGGAATTCGTCTTTCCCTCCTCGCCTCCTTTTTATCTGTAAATAAAATTCCCCCTCAGATTCTAAATAAAATTATAAGTATGTTTTGTTAGTCTTTTTAATGAGTATAAATTACTGGCATTACAATTAAACTTTCCATTATGTGACCATGCTCTCGTTATATATATAAATACACATATATACATACAATTATATATATATGTGTGTGTGTACATACATACACCCACACACATCCAGTAACATCAAAAACAATACCCAGGTAGCCCGCTCAAACCACAAGACCGAAGCAACCCGCGAGCAGTTGGAGGCCGAGCTGCGCATACTGTGGGAGCGACAGGAAAAAGAAGTGTCTCTCTTGGAAGTCCTTCGTTACCCGAAGCTTCGTGTGAGGGCCCTCATACTGTTATACATGAGGTGAGTGATTTGACTTTATCTTTTTCCTGCTATTAGTATTTAGTGTTGATATTTTTCTCGTGTTGGGTAGTTGGTAGTTTTTGATTATGTGTGTATGTTTATAACTGTGTGTATGTGTGATTATGTTTGTGCAGGTACAAATATCATTTTATACCTCTAGCTACTTATGAGAGAATCTTCTGTGTTCTGCACAGAAATACTAATTTCCAGTTCCTTAAATTACCAAATGCCTCTCAGCTTTAAAAAATAATACAATTACAAATAATTACACAATACAGACTTTGAAGGAACACATTTATCCAAGTGCGTTGTTTTTAATATGTAGGAGGTATTTATGGTTATGCCCACATAATATCAGCAATTGCTAATGTGTATGCACATGCACACACATATGTGTATATTTATGTATATTTATATCAATATATTTTCATATATACATACATTTTGATATATATTCATATACACATATCTATAAATATATATATGAATATATATATATCAACCATCGTTATTACCAATAGAGTGAAAATGAATGCTTCTTTTTCAGTACCTGCACTTTCTTGATTTATGGCGTGGTGTTCCTCGGAGTCACTGTTCTCTCGAGCAACTTTTTCCTGAGTCATTTCATCTTGTCCCTCTCGGAGCTCCCCAGCAACGGCCTCGGCTGGGTGTGGACGCACTACCTCGGTCGTCGCTGCACCTGCATCCTCTCCTTCCTCACAACTGGTGCATTCTGTGTTGCGGCGACTTTCTGTCTTGAAGGTTGGATTAACATTTTTTTCAGCAACGTGTTTATTAGAACTGATTTTTTTGTTTTTATTTCTTTGTTGCTGGACACCGTGGCGGACGAACGTGCCTTCCTTC